TAAAGACATTTGCAGTCAGGTAAGAAATATGTCCATAAAATCAATTAAATATGTTCAATTTTAGTGAAAACAAAGACAGTGGCTTGGGAAATTCAGTACAGACTTTCCAGTTTAAGGCTTTGAGTGTGTCTTAAATCTGTACAACTGGCTTGTTCTGGGAATTGAGACCCGTGTCACTTCTCAGTGAATGATAATCCTGCTCCCAGGGTCCTTTAAGGCTTCGATCAGTAGGGCTTTTGCTGTTGTTGGAGACTAAATAACAAATGAAAAAAATGTTCAAATACAATGCACAGAGACATATTAATTTTCACGGGAATGACAGCAAAGGCCATCAGCAGTGAAAACGAACCACTAAGTTTTTGCAACTCCCTAGAAATGGCTTTAATATATAACATGTGTATTTCTTGAGACTATTCTTTGGCAGTAAGTTAGTCTCCTAAACACTCATCAAAAAGAAAAGTGACATTATGGATTTTGGTTTTTTTCTGAATTCTGATTCCTCTTTTTTCTCAATAAGCAATGCTGGAAAGAAAATCACCACCACCACCCCACACACACACAAAAGTGCCGTAATGGTGAAGACTGAACTTAAAATGCAGTGATCGGTATCTGTGATCCAGTGCGCTAAGTAATAGATGCAAACGAGCAGTGACGGAAGACAGGCAAAGATATCAGACGGTTTAGCTGGTCAGGTCGGAGGGCCCACCCCTGCAAAATTATTTTTTTCCATCCTGGGGCGGGAACCCAGAGGCGCTGTACCACTGCGTGACATCCCCATCCTACCCCTTTTTCTTTTGTATTTTGAGACAGGATCTCAGAAAGTTACCGAGGCTGACCTGGAGTTTGTAACTCTTCTACCTCAGCCTCCCATGTAGCTGGGGAGCCACACCGCATGCCACACCACACCTGGCAGAATTTTTTTTCTAAGAAAGCAACGGAAACTGAAAAATGACTGTCCAGCCTTTTGTCCCCTCAATTTTAGCACCAGCCAGTGTTACCCATCTTTTCAGTGCTCCATTCATCGTGGCTTGGACCAGGGTCAGAGTTTGTTCCGTATTTGCAGCAAAAGCCTGCATTGAGCGGTGAGTGAGTGGGAAGCAGCAGTTACTGTTATTTATTTACCCGCAGGGTCTCTCTGCAGCCCAGCCGGCCCTGAGCCTGTAATTCTCCTGCCTCAGTCTCCCAAGTGTGCACTGCCCACGTGTACCACCACACCTGCTCCACTACATTTTAAGTTGGGAGGGAGGCTCGGATTTGGAGGACTTACTCTTGGGAGATGAAGTGTGTGCTTCCCTTCTTTCCGTGGCTGGCGTTTTGAGGTGCTTTGTGGTACCGTGGATCGGGACTCAGGTCAGTGTGACATCAAGGAACCTCCGCTGAGAGCTGTCACGTCTCTGCACGTTGACTTCTCACTTGTGAAGTGGAAGAAAGACGCTCTCGTGAGCTGTGAAGCTCTCTCCTGCCTACCTGTCGAAGGGGCTGATACGGGCCCATAACTAACTCTCTAGTGTCACAGAAATCCCTCTCAACCCTCACAAGAGCTCTTCAAAGTGTCATTCTCACTATATGGATGAGGAGACTAGGCCTTAAACCAGGAAGAACCTACCCAGAATCACAAACTAAGTAGCAGAGTTAGGATGAAAATTTGGCTCTGATTCAGAGGCATTCCAGGATAACTGAATATGTCGTTTTTCCACTTTAACCTAAAACCGTTCCCAGAGCCTTTCAGTGGCTTGTGTTCCAGCTGACAGCTCCAGGCCCTGTTTGAATAATTTTAAGTCGATCCTTAGCTGGGAGAGCAAGCCTTAATTATCACTGGAGGACAGAAGGCTGCATCTTTAAGGAATGTGGCAGACCTCAGCAGGAGGCAACCACAGGTCTTTGGCACAAGATCGCTTTTCAACAACACTGTCAATCCCAGCGACTGGCCACCTTCCACCTGCAGGTCCTGAACAGCTGCTGTTCTGGGGAGGCAGTGGCAGTTTGTCTTCCTCTAAAAGGCAAATGCACACCCCGCTCCCGGCCTCCCGCTGGGATTCCACCTGCGACGTCATCTCCAAACCTGGAGGTCATCTCCCATATCGAGAAATGGAGAAAAATAAAAGGAGAGGGGAGGACAGCTTTGACAACAGGCCCTGAACTCTCCCTGTTAATATAAGCCAGATTCAGCATGTGTCATTCTGTAAACCTGGGAGTCCAGGGTGAGGCTCCTAATTTACTGCAACTTCCGCTTTCCCCCGAGTGAGGCAGGGCCACACCAGCCCATCAGGGCAGCTGGTGGAAGGTATAATTTGCCCGCCGTGAGCCTGTCTGTTGATTCTCTATTGTAACTTTTATTTGCATTGAGGTTCTGTGGTTTTTAAAAGTTGACTAGATTTATTTTTAAATTAAGCTGACCCAACATCAAAGGCAGAGCATGTTTATTATAAAGAAATCCTGTGTAATCTTTTAGAGCTGTGTTCTGTACGTAGGACATGTACCAGTACATGGCTAGGGGACCTTTCATGGCCAACTCGCTGTGTGTCTCTGACCTCAGATTACCCTCCCCGGGTGAAAAACCCCTTTTGCGAGAGGATTTAGAAGTCCCTCTTGCCTCCTCTCAGCCTCTGAGTCTAATCCTGTTTGTAACGCGACCTGCCGCATGGAGAACGGGAATCCCTACCACCTCCCTTCCGACGGCAGCTCCCTTGCAGATGTGGGGCCAAAAAAAACAGGACCATTTGGTTCATGAATCATTTATTGAGTAGGCAAAAAGAAGTTTATATTTCAAGCTTATCTTTGAAAGAATGACAGGTGCCTCTTAAAAAGAGTTTTAACACTGGCTTATTTTTTTCACCCCAGATAGTTATAGGAAATGTATTTGTTCATTGGCTCATGGAGCAAACTTGTCCTCTGTTCTAGACATTTTTGTGGGTTTTGTTTTTTTTGGTTGGTTTTTTTTCCAGTACCAGGAATCGAACGCACAACCTTGCGCTTGCCAGGCAGGTGCTGTGCCGCTGAACTAAATCCCCAGCCCCTTTGTGGGTTTGTTTTTGAGACAAGGTCTCGCTATGTAGTTCAGGCTGGTGTTGAACTCACTATGTAGCACAAGCTGGCCTCGAACTCAGGTGATCCTCCTGCTTCAGCCTCTTGAGTGCTGGGACTACAGGATTGCACCACCAGGCTTAGCCTGTTATAGACACGTGTAAGTGCTATGTATCAAAATAAGAGTGGTGCTGTGAGCCCCATTTACAGAAGAGCAAACTGAGCCTCACCCTCACTTCTACTCTGTAAAACTGTCCCTTTACACTGGCATCAACTTACATTTCTGGGCATAGCTTGTTCACTTTTAGGGATGATGCCTCCCAAGCTTACACGATGTATGTGCTGGCTCAGATCTGCTAGGTAATCAGCATTCATCCTGACATCAGAATAACTTCATATAACAAGGAGGCCAGTGGTAGTATTCTAGCATTTTTACCATAAAAGACAGGTTCTGCAACTAGCAGAGGAAAATATGTCACAAGAGGCAGAATTTCTATGGCTCAGTGCATATGGGAATGTCCCAGCGTACAGCGCTTGCTGGTCAGAATCTCCAAGCTTTTTCTCCTAGGAAACTCTCACTCCACACCCTCAATGGGTCTTTAGTGAAGTCCCTTAAATCACTGGGCCTGCAGTGACTGACCATTTCTCTAGTTTTATAATATGGATGATGGCCAGGGGTCCTGTTTAGTTATCCTTGTCTACAATCTTTCCTTCTCTCGTGAGTTCCCTGTGATAGACATGGGCATCAGATTTCTTCATCAGCAGAGACTGTTGTTTATTCTGTAAGACAGGCCATTGGTGAAGTGAAGGCTACAACAATCTCAGGCATAGGCAGCACGCTTTGCTTCACTTTCTGTTCATTTTCTTTTAACAAAGTGAGCTTCAGAATCTATTCTTGATTCTACCATCTCTAGTGCTGTTAGTTTGGAGTGGTTACTTAACTTCACCAAGGTTTGATTTTCTCATCTATAAAATGGAGATAATAAACCAATTTCCCAGAACAGCTGAGATAGTTGAATGAATAGAATTACTTTGCACAATACGATGCAAATGGTAAATGCAACATCTATGTATTTAATAGTATTTAAAGGGAAGGTTTGAGTGGATTACTGTCCAGTGGAGAATTCAGTTCAAGTATAAACAAGTGCCTCTCAGTGTAAGATCTGCTCTGGCATAGGCCTGCCCTTTGGGAAGTGTGACAGCATCAAATGGTCAAAGCAGCGGGGTAAGACTTAAAGAGAAGTGACGTCTTTTGTGAGTCCCCAGTGGAATGCATCTGACACCACCTGCAGTAGATTAAGTGTGGGCTTGAACTCACCTGTTATAGAACAGTAGGGTATACTTCCTTGTGTGGAAAAGCCATGCCCTGTACCTGTACTGATTTCTCTATGAAATGAATAACTTTAGAGGTAAGCATGTATATCGCAGAAGTAGTCTTGACTATAATTCCAGTAAATGTAGTTAAATTAATGGTTTTAATGTACAAGATTAAACATGCAGGAAAAAACCTGCATTTTATAGACTATGTATATAATAGAAGAAGAGCAATTCAAGGGAGAAAATGTGTTGAGATTGTAATTGAGCCTCATTCTACATCTGTGACTATATTTAATAGCCTAATTAGCAATAAAATTTTTATGAGTTAACATCACCTGGAGTTCTGTATTAGTGAGTTTTATCTGCAGGTTTGTAACATCATCCCGAGGTGTTTCTTACCCTTTTACTCATTGAATCCAAATGAACTAGCACGTGTTCAGCAGCCGGTCCGGGTGGACTTGAAGGGACAGATGCCCTTTGGGGTGGTGAGGGCTTCAGATCTTCTAAACACAAGAGGAGATGCTTGGGAGAAAAGACTACTTTCAAAGCATCTGAACTATCTTTCTTAAGTGATTATTTCACAAATTTTAATCTACTCCTCTAAATTACCAGATAAAATGAATAGATGCATAATAAGACTTCTTTCTGGGTATTTTCAGAACGCCCAGTTATAACTATGCACCCAATATGGATAAACACTGGATCATGCAGTACACGGGCCCAATGCTGCCCATCCATATGGAATTCACCAATGTTCTACAGCGCAAAAGGCTCCAGACGCTGATGTCAGTGGATGATTCTGTGGAAAGGGTAAGCCCGTGGCCTGCGCCGGGGATGGGTTATGCCTGGCTGCCTTTGCGCTGACACGCTTGTCATCCCTGCTTGTTCTTTGCACTGTCAAGCACCACACTGCGTGTGTCCGTGACCGCCCCTCCCATTCTGCTTCTCCCGGTGTGGTTCTTAAGGAGTTAGTGATGGAGGACAGAGAAATAAAACATCGGAAACTAAGGGTTGCACCCTTAAATACCTTCAGAAATCCTTCAAATCATGTAGATGACTAAAGCAACAGGGACTGCGAAGATTGTGAGGAACTTAGCAACTGTCCCACGTAATCAGGCCACAGCTACTCAGCTTAGGCTAATTTGGACCATGTAGAAATGCGAGTCAAATATCATCAAGATTCCTGGCTTTTGAAGAAGAAGCCAGAAACACAAACATTTTTATTTGAAATTTCATGGATTTAAAAATCTAGCATAACCAGCACTCAGGAGACTGAGGCAGGAGGATTGCCAGGAGTTTGAGGCCAGCCTGGGCTACATAGTGAGTTCAAGGCCAGTCTAGACTACATAGTGAGACCTTGTCTTAATAAAAAAAAAAATCTAGCACAAGACAAACTGGATCTAACTGGACCTACCTGGATCAAGGTTAGGGGCAGACTATTTTTAACCCTTCATAGTTGCATATACAAGTGATAAATATTGCTTTAACAACAGACTGTCAAAGTGAAATCTATAAATTTTAATGGTAGAGGTTGTTGTGTGGCTTGTTGTTTTGTTACTGCTGTTTTACCAAACAGACAGATACAACCTCTACATAAAATGTGCCAGATTCAAAAAAGTTACGTTTCGTCTGTATCACAAGACCTCTTGCCTCCAGGACTGTAAGTGTAAATATGTTTGTGGGCCTTATTAGAGTAATTCTCAGCTTTTAGAAATAATGAAAGAGCCAGGGCTATAGCTCAGTGTTATAGGTGCCTGCCCAGCAAGCACAAGGTCCTGAGTTCAATTCCCGGTACCAAAAGAAAATAGAAATAATGAAAGAAAAAAGATTTGGGGGAAACTGGCCACTGTAGAGTGTTACTTCAAGCACCCCAGTTGCCATGAGCTGCGCTGTTTTTCAGCTGTACAACATGCTGGTGGAGACGGGCGAGCTGGACAACACTTACATCATCTACACCGCCGACCACGGTTACCACATTGGGCAGTTCGGACTAGTCAAGGGGAAATCCATGCCGTACGATTTTGATATTCGTGTGCCTTTCTTCATTCGTGGTCCCAGCGTGGAACCAGGATCAGTGTACGTATGTCTGTTTGCATCATTCTGCTGCCGCAGCTCATGTGGTCTAAGGTAATCCAATTACTGATGTCAGTGTCTGGTTTCCTTTCACACAAAACTAGAAATAGTGTGTATAGGGTGGTAATTTAGAGGCTGAGACGCCCCCTCCCCCATGTGCACATGTTAAATTAAGTAATGTTTGCTTTAAACCGGAAGGAGAAATAACTACATGAATGACTAAATCCTTCAAATTGACCGGAGTCCATGTCTTTTTGACCTGTGGACAAAGACAGAGTGGGAGCTTTGGGGACATTATACTTACTACCTCTGAATCCAAGATACACTGCCACTTTTGAAAATGATCATTGTTAGCTCAGCGGCAAAGCGCCTGCCTGGCAAGCGCAAGGTCGTGAGTTCGGTTCCCGGTACCGGAGAAAAACCAAAAAAAAAAGAAAATGATCATTGCTTAGCCATGTGGTATACTGTCTTGGTTACCTTTCTCTCGTTGCTGGGACAAAATACCTGATGCCCAAAATTTAGGAAGGAAAGGTTTATTTTGCTTACAGTTTGTGGAGGTTTTAGTCCATACTTGGCAGGTTACAAGGCAGAGTGGCACATGGCAGAGGGCTACAGCTCATGGCGGCAGAACACAGCAAAAGCAACAAGCACTAAAAGGGAGGAATGGCGGCAAGCAGCCTCTTCCTCTCCCTTATATATGCAAATTGTCCACCCCAGGGCGGGTGTAGCTCTCACACCCATACTCAGTCAAACTCTAAAAGCCTGCCCCATGACCACATGAGGCTTTGGGGGCACACAGACACAAACCATAATGTACACACACCTACAGTGTCACTTCTGGGAGGCTGAAGCAGGAGAATAAAAAAGTTGAACCCAATAACCCAATCTGGACAATTTAGCAATTTAAATCTTGTCTCATAATAAAATTTCTTAAAAGGATGAGGGTGGGGATGTAGTCAGTACAAAGGCCCTGGGTTCAGTTCCCGGTACTCTAATCAATCAATCAATCAATCAGACAATCCCTATAAAAAATAAAATTATGCCATCCTCTTAGTATTTTTAATTTTTTTTAAAGAGTTACTAGAGCCTATCTGTAAAAGAAAACTTTAAAATGTGTGATTTTCTTTTAAAAGAAAAGAGACGTAAGCCACTAGAGTTCTGCTTCTGTTGCCAGAGGCAAGCCACTGCTTCCTTTCCTGTCTCCATTTTCCCATCATACAATGGGTCCCCTGTGCCAGGGCAATCATAGCAGAATGCTTTGTATAAAATGAGATCATGGGGCCGGGGATTTAGCTCAGTGGCATAAGCGCCTGCCTGGCAAGTGCAAGGTCCTGAGTTCGATTCCCAGTACCAAAAAAAAAAATGAGATCAGGCACACACAGGAATCATGGAAAAGGTAAAGGAGAAGCGCAGGGGGAGAACTCTAAACAGCTTCTAGCCAGGACTGTGATGCAACGCAGAAGCTGGACAGATGGCGTAAGTGCCTGTCTCAGAGTCCCTGATCCTCGACTTGCGCGTCGGGGCCAGACCCTCAGCATATGCTTCGTCCGCTGCCGCACCCCCACACTGCATCCTGGGCTGATGGGAGGAAGAAGGGTTCTTTTAAGAGTGCTATGTCTCTTAAGATCTTTAGAAACCAAGTAGGAATTGTCATCTCTGTAGTTAGAAAGCTTTATGTTTCTAACATCAAGCTACCAAACCTTCAGTAGCATCGGTTAGATTCAACTCTAAAAAACGTTGGGCTCCTTTTCTGGAACACTGGTGTTAAAGCCCTAGTTCAACCGAGGAGTTATGGACCAGCAGGTATGAGAAGAAAGTGTGGGTCACAGAGAAGCCACATACCGAGCCGCACCTGTTTGGCAGCGTGTCTGGAGCACAAGGGTGGGGCATCTCGCCAGCCTGACCAGAGGAGGTCGGTCTTGTTCAGTGCCCCTGCTGCTCACCCCTCACCCACTCTGCAAATACTGCTGCTCACCGCTAGAAAATCGGAGGGGAGGGTGAGATGAGGTGAAAGCCAAGAACTCACAGCTGTAGCAACAGCAGCCTTAAGTGACACCTTCCACTGGCTTCGGGTCCAGGTTGTAACCATCTGTCTCTTTGCAGAATCCCACAGATCGTCCTCAACATCGACCTGGCCCCTACGATCTTGGATATTGCCGGCCTTGACACACCTCCTGACGTGGATGGCAAGTCTGTCCTCAAACTTCTGGACCTGGAAAAGCCAGGTAACAGGTGCGTCAACATTCCTTCTCGCAGCCAGTCCCGAGTACACTGGTCCAGCGCCCCGAGCCAGCCTGCAGCCGGAAAGAGTGAAGGCAAAAACACTTTGCTCTGAGGATCACCCCACGCTGCTCCGTTCCCTGTGCTTGTGAATAGCACATTGATGGATCTAGTCATGGTCTGTGGGAAGTGAGAGGAGTTCTTTAAATAAACTGTTAGCGCAGATCCATTTGCACAAACGTCCAGATGCCAACAGTAAATATTACTATTTTGCTTTCAGGTTTCGAACAAACAAGAAGGCCAGAATTTGGCGTGATACATTCCTAGTGGAAAGAGGGTAATTACTGGCTCCTGGGGTGCTTCTGGGAACTGGTCCTAGCGGGCAGCTCTCCCTACTGAGTGTTTTTTTTTCTCCTTATTTTGGTTTACTAAGCACTGCAGATTTCATAGGCCTGGTTGTAAGCTTAAATGGTTTGCCATTCATTCTCTACAGACCAGCAGAGTAATTATTGCTCATATGTGAGATGAGCCCGAAGCCTTTGCATGGGTTTCGATTTCCTGGTGCAGTCCCCAGCCTTGGTTCCTGATCAGCCCATCCTTCCCATCTCTTTCTCTGAGTAGCCTCCGAGGCTTAGCTGGTACCAGTACCCAACTTTCTACTTCTTTTCCTTATGTGCCTTCATAATTTTAAACACATGAATTTATGCTGTTGTGATTATTTCCATAGTCACTTCTGGGTTTTCCCTTTCAACTCATAATTCTCATTGCCTTGTTTTCCTTCTGTATATGAATTGGGAGAGAGAAAAAATTAATTGCTTTGCGATGGAAAGAACTTTAAGCACATAAAACTAAACATTTATGCCCCAAGTTTTTAAATTTATGCTTTCGGGGGAGGGAGTGATTCTCCTTATCTTGATCAGGCAGACTTCATCGAACCCAGCTTGTAATTTTCAAAGAGAATCCAGCAAGTATTGAACTCCTGTACGCAGACACTTAATGTCCACATCTTCCTATTTGAAGAATGTGGGGCCATGTGACAGGGAAGAAACAGAAAATAGGCAGCACTTGAGGCAGGTGACTCCGCTCACTTCTCATCTGAGAGCTTTTCTCTTTCTCTCAAAGCAAATTTCTAAGAAAGAAGGAAGAAGCCAGCAAGAATATTCAACAGTCAAATCACTTGCCAAAATACGAGCGAGTCAAGGAACTGTGCCAGCAGGCCAGGTATCAGACAGCCTGTGAGCAGCCTGGGCAGGTGAGTGATGCACCTTCCTTTAATACCCTTCCTGCATCTCTCCATTTCTAATGTACAAGACTTGCGACATATAAAATAAAGTGCACTTCCGTATGCATAAGGTTTTCACAGTGATCAGGAGGCCAAGCTCATTGTGACACCTCTCTGAGGACGAAATTGCCTAACTGGTCCACACTGGACCTCCACATCACTGCTTGAGCTTCCTCCAGGACAGCCACACTGTGTGCTTACTGTTTCTACCCCTGCTCACAAACTGACGTCAAATACTTCATGACAATGAATCCTTTCCATTACAGAAATAGTATAGAAGCTAAGTCTATAAATAGGGTGGGGAAAAATACCATACAGTGAATTAACACTGCATGTAAGGACAGTGAGAATATACGATCACCAGCATCACAGCACTCTTGACTGAAAGCTATGCTAACAAAGAGGAACTCTGTACAAGGTGAAAGACAATGCTGTCCTCATCACAGCAAACAGATTTCTGCCAAAATCAATACAAAGTACAACAGAATCGGAAAAGTAAAAAGAACAAACTATCACTAAGCACTTGTCTCACATGACACTCGATATGCAGGATGCTGTATGTATTCACTAGATCGAATCCTCACATCTTTCGACTGAGGCAGGCAGTGTCAGTCCTGTTTCACAAATGGCAGCAGGTAAGTGACAAAGCTGGAATCTGGGTGAGAGTTGTCTGATTGAAAGGCCTGGGCCCCTCGAGTCTTCCAAGCTAAGCTATATTAACTAGACAAAGAATAGAGATCTTCTGTGAATCCTTTTAACTTCTCTGTCTGACTTCCAGCTATTCAAACAATTAGTCAGCACCAATTCAAAGTATCAGGGCCACTTGTGGTGGTGCACACCTGTAATCCGAGCACTTGGGAGGCTGAGGCAGGAGGATTGCTGTGAGTTCAAGGCCAGCCTGAACTGCACAGTGAAACTCTGTCTGAAAAAGAAAAAAAAAAAAAAAGCTATCAGAGACATGAAGTAGGCAGCCTGCTTATTATCAAAATGGCCCCATTCATTACACTTATTATGTGCTATCCAGTGTATTTGAATAGACAATCATAATAAATGACTTGATCCTAACTGTATTTCCTCGTGCATCTCTTGCACACAGGATCTCTCTAAAATAGAGGGCGGTGAGCAGGAGGAGTTGTTGAAGGAAGGGATAAAATCAGCCCTTCCTGTCGTCCTACTGAGTCTTCATTTTCAAATGTGTAGCAGAGATGCTTAGACCTATTCATTATGTTTCAATTTGAAGTCTTCAAATCTTTCTTGTGGAAGGTCTAAGTGTTATTATGAGTAAAACCTCAGAATTATTTTGTAGCTTTAAGATGATTTTTATGAGGCTGCCTCAGTAGGCTAATTTACTTTTATTCAGGAGTTGGAATTGTTCAGTATTAAATGTGCCTCATGCAAATTGGTGATCTTCTTACTGTGTGAGCCCTCTAAGCGGTGAGCACAGTGACTGTGGGGGAATACGGTACACTGCCTGCTCCTTTTCACTATATAGTTTTGTGAATCTCCCCATGTGGCTTGTGCTGAAATTTTAATGTATGTCCTAAAGGGCAAATGTAACATAAACTAGATCATGATACTTGGCACACACCTTGCACTCATGTGCTCAATGTAAACTATATTATGAACTTAATTTTGCTTTTTCATATTTTCCTAAACTTGTTTCACCCCCATGAACTGTTTTTATGTGTAGCTCCCTGGAATTTTCCTCTGCTCTTTTATTCCTATGTAAATTGTTCTGCACTTAGACGCCGTCCCACGGATGTACGGGAACACGGGTACTGATCTCCTCTAGCAGTTTCTGAATTAATGGAACAAAGAATTAGACTCGGCCCAGATGGTGACTTTTTTCCTGTAAAATTTCTTTAAGCTTAGTACAAGTTGGCTGTAGAAGAAGTGAAGACCTGGAGAGGCCGCAGGACCACCCCAAGCTTCAGGTGTCCCTGGCGCTAGTGAGTAGGGGTGAGGTCCCTAGGCCGGCAAGGCGAGCTGTCAGAGATGCAAGTTCCGGGCCCTCCCTGAGTCAGAATCCCCGTCGTGAAGCCCAACAATCTGCATGTCACTCAGTCTCCATGGTTCGCTTCCCATCGCATACTTTCTTCCCTGTACCTTGTGGCCACGGCTGTGTCAGCGGATGCTGACGTCACAGCTCAGAATCTGAGAACCTCCCAGCAGTTGTGAGTCTCTCCAAGGTGGCTATCGAATGTGTGGGTCAAACCCGATAGCTCTGCTCAACAAGATCTTTATCTCTTGGCCTTCCACGCTTTCTGTGTGGCTATTTGAAGATTACCTTTTCGGTGATACTCCCACTGAATTAGAGGAGAAGAGTCCAGAGTCTGCGATTGTATTGCTTGGCATCAAGGTGGCAGCTAAGGTTAACACTGACTGCCTTGGAGTCTGCTGTCTTGACTGGACTGAAATTTCGGGGCCAAAATTTTCTTACCAGGAAAATGTTCTTTCAACTGGAAGGTTTCTAAGATTCCTCCCAGCCTTGACCTTCTCTGATTCAGGCCTGGGGTTCTTAACACTGTTAAAACAAAAACAAAACAGCAGCAGTAACAGCGTGAACCTCAGATGCCTTGGCCCCGCCACTGCACCGTCCGTGTCTTCTGTTCGCTTCCCGTTGCATACCCTCTGCCCTGTCCCTTGCGGCCTGCGGGGGTCTCACCCCTGGCCTGTGCCCTGCTGCTTGCCTTCCTCTTAGCGGTGTCTACTGCTGCATCGCTAAGGCAACGCAGCCTTAGCCCTGACCTTTCAGGGATGCACAGTGGAAAATCCTCACGATGAGCCCCATGCTATTCGTCTAGGTCCCCAAAGAAGGACTATATCCCCCTCTCATCACACGTCCATTCCTGGCTGGGAGTACCGGGAGCCACCTCTTCTAGCTGCGTCGTCCTGAACAAGGCGTTCAATTTCTCCCAAGTGTCTGTCTCTGACACAGAGAAAATGAACTCACTCTTGTGAGGATGAAGTGATATCATCCCTGTAAAGTGCTAGGTGAGACAGATTAATCTCTGCAGTGTGTGCTAGGTGTTATTACTCTTCCGGGCTTTCTTACCTGTTGTTTTCCTTTCTGTGAAACCTACGAGGGATTAGAACGGGCTGGAGTCCCAGGCGCTTGGCATCGCTTCTTGACTATGTGTATGCAACCACCAGCAGAGGCTAATTAAGACAACATGGACATATGTGTTTGCATTTCTTCCATGTTTCTGAATTAATCCAAGACAAAGTGTGAATCCCCACCACTCTCTCAGCTAGGCAGTGCGCGCCTAAGCACATTGATGTACATACGGACACGCACGCACACACTCGTGCAAATTCGGCTTTTGCCTTAAAAGATTTGTTTGGAAATGAGTAGGTCGATGATGCTCAGTTCTGGGTGCACATTTTAATCACCTTCAGGGACTTCTGGAAGCTAATGATACACTACCCTATCCCAGACCCGATCAAAATGTCTACAGGTGAAGCCAAGGCATCTGCGTTTTTTGGTGTTGTTACTATTTGCTTTTGTTTTACCAGTGTAAAGAACCCCAGGCCTAGAATCAGAAATGTCAGAGCTGGAAGGCGTCTGTGAAACCTTCCAGTCGAAATGATAACATTTTCCTGAGGCGGAATTTCAGTCCAGAAAAACTCAGGCTCACCCCGCATCTCTTCAGTTTTCATTGCGTACTTTCTTCCGTGTAAGTTACGGCCTCCACAAATGTGAGATGCTAGATTTTCCCTTTAACCTTGAACGCCGTTTGCATTAAGGGCACTTGCCCCTCACAGCGATGGTCCTGTTGGGACTGCACAACAGGCACGCATGAGCTTTAGAACTTCTGATGCGCAAGTTCAAGTTCACCCCACAGCAGTCACCCAGAATCTCCGGGAAGGAGAACAGAGGGTCAAGACCGAGAACTACAAATGCCAAGTGAGCATTATTGGGTTGGTTGTTGTTTTCTCTGCTGTGTCTTCCTCTAGGTATAGACACTGTGTCTATAAAAATGGGAGTTACATGAAAGAGAAATTCCTGGGTGTGTATTTTATCTATTCTCTGGCATTTTGCCAGGGTAAGAAAAGGCTTGATTTATTTGTGTAGAGCAAATGTCACGTCTCCTTGTTGAATTGTTAAATCCCAGTATCTTCGCGATTTAGTTTGCCATTGTATTATTTCATCAATACACAGTCAGAGCTCTGCTTAAAATTCTGTACGGACCCCAGCATCAAGCAAGTTGATCGCATTGTAAAGGAAATTAGAATGTAATTTGTTGAGTATAAACTAGTTTAGCTCTAGGCTGTGTGTTCTCATCCAAAACGCATTCCCCTGCTGTATATGTACCTGACTCTTTGTTGTACCTGCGGTAGCTGCACAGAAAGACGTTTACCAGTAAGATCTGGCCAGAATTGTTAGTTTGACAGCAGCTGACAGCCTGTTTGCAAAAGTTCCCTGAACCTGGTCAGAATCACAGCGTGGCTCATAGACGGGCAGGCAGACAGACAGGCACACGTGCCGGCTCTCCTGATGCTGAGGGCAGACCCAAAAGGACTGCGTGTCTCTGAGTTCTCATCTGCACTTGTGGCCCACTCGGCCTTTAAGTGGTGCCTTCTGACCTCTCCAGACCACACTGAAGGACTGGTCTGCACAGTGGGGCAGATGCTTGCATGTTTTGCTCCTGTGTATTTGTTCTAAACAAGTCAGAGACAAGAGTGAGGTTAGACACTCTACTCGTGGGCTCCGGAACATGGAGCTGCCGTGTTTCATGCAGAATCCGTCTCCTCTCACCTCCTGCCAGTGGCCTGCCCTGCCCAGGTCCCCTGTTTCCTAGCATGCCCTCACATCGTCTCATTCATACGCCATTTGTCACATGTCTCCCTGCGTGCTCTCCCCTCACCCGAGCCCCAGCTGAAGACCCACGTGCCACCTCAAACCACTCAGTGACTCAAAGTCCTGCTCAGGGCACCTTGGGATTCCATCCTGAGCTCACTGTTTGCTT